TCAACCATCGTCTGCCTGAACCAATAACTGAATGTCCAACAAAAGAAGGTCCATCAATCTGTATTCCCAGTATCATCGAGACATCCTGCAACATAATACTCATTTCACCTACAGGGAGATGAAAAGTATTCGTCTTCGGCGACCACCTCTCAGCCATAGCTGTAAGTAAGTGATGATCCATCCTCCTATACCTCATCTGACTCACACTATCCAATCCCACAAAAATCATAGCCTCAATGAACCTAGGACAGTTGATGGGCCACTCATGTACTATTAATAAGTGTGAAGCATCCTCCAATATAGTACCCTACTAAGAATATTATTGTTGACATATTAGATATTATTTATTTGAACAATAAATACATAACTAATCTATATAAATTTACCTGCTCAGTATGGGCTGCTCGGTGGCTGCCTGCAAGTGAAGAAATGCTAGGTTGGATGGTATGTACAGTTGACTGTGTGGATGCCTCCACACTAAAAGGGCGCCTGCGGCGCCCGCGTCCCCTATCTTCTGCGGCCGCCATGAAACCTGGTAGGAAAAGAAATGTTAGGCAAGTATAAATAATATAAAAATTTAATGACATTAGCAAAACATAACATTTTTTATATGAAAACTAAACAACTTATGAAAAGCATTCTTAATATAAAAAACAAATTAATTTTGGTTCTACAGATTATGAAAAAATATTCTACAAATAATGAAAAGCACATTTATGAAAAGCATTATTGATAGGAAAAATTTAAAACTTAAAACTAACCTAGTATGACAAGTTGCTTTGTTATGTCCTACTATGCCACATGCACCCCATTTTCTATTACTTTGACCAATTCCTTTGTCCATTGTGTTTCTAAAATGATTTGTTCTTGGTCTCCCAGAACGTCTTCTAAAATTTGGGGGTAGGAGTGGATGTATGCCACTTGCTGGATCATGTTGTGCCCAAGTAGATCGGTTTAAAATATTATGAAATTGATCAACATAAGTCATTTTGTAATTGTCCAAGATGTAGTATTGTGAGACATAATTGTAGTGACTTTTCCTTAGCACTGATACGCAACTAACTACATGTGGGCACGGGATATGATATGTAATAGTCTTCCCACAAGTACAAATGCAATTTTTATTTTCAACTAAATCAACCCTGAAAGACCGAGATGACATGTCAACCACTTGAAACTCACGCATATTTATTCGAATGGGTTGTGGTAATCTACATGCTTCTTGCTCGATCTTTCGTAGTGTTGCTTCTCTTGGTGCAAAGGGTCTGGTTGCATCAATTTCGGAACCCTCTAGCATCTCGATTCTTCTCAAGTGCAATGCCACAACATTATAATATATTGCTGTAATTAATGCTTGAATAGGCAAACCCCTAGCTCTTTTAAGAACTCCATTAAATGACTCTGATGCATTTGTTGTCATAACTCCATAACAAAATCCACCATCATAGGTAAGAGCCCACGATGTAACATCACGCTCTACCAACCACTGGTGAATATCAACCTTCACCTTTATCATATCTTTCATGCACCTATCAAATACCATTGGGTCATCAGTGTTCCCAGCCATGTACATCTTCTAGCATAGAAACTCAACGTCACCAACACCCAATCGATGTACTGCTTTTTTAAAATTTTCACATAGGTGACGAAGACAGTGACGATGTGTAGCATGCGGAAAAATTTCATGACAACCTCGCACCAAACCAGCGTGCATATCAGAAATAATACATAAATCAGGTCGGGTGCTAACAATTTGAAGTAGTATATGCAACTGGCTCAAAAACCACACCCATGAATCAACACATTCTGATTATACAATTGCGAAGGCGAGGGGGTACAATCCATTGTTAGCATCAATTCCCACAGCGATTAGTAAAGTGTCTCAATATTTGCCTAACAGGAATGTGCCGTCAAGGCAAAGTACAGGGCGACAGTAGCTCCAACCTTTTATCGAAGGCCCAAAGGAGAAAAATAATCTCTCAAATCTATGATTCTCAGACGTTTGTATCTTATAAACGATTTCGGGCATTGAAAACACAACAACATCCATGAACAAATTTATGGTTTGGTACGACTCCTCCCAGCTACCAAATACTATTTTCACATCTTTTCTTCTAGCATCCCAAGCTTTCATATATTAAACTTTTATGTTAAACTTTGCTTCAATTTGACAGATAATATCTTGTGGCTTGAGATCCGTATGCCTTCTGATACTGGGCAATATGAAGTAGCTTATAAATTGTGAATTACATTGTCTATGTCCAGTAGCTAGAATCGGGGTTGCGCAAGTATGTTGGTTCTTCATGGAAGATATTTTCCATATGCCCCCCAGACGTTTGCTCACCCCCGCATGCAAACGCCATATACATGGTCTGTCT